ATATATATAAACACGTGATTGAATCGGGTCGTTACAAAATTATCAGGATATAAGAATTAGGTTTGAGCATTTTATTCCACTTAAAAGATCCTTCGCAACCCAGTCCACTCCGTCACTTTCATTCATTCACCTACTTATCAAAATGCGAGCATGTGTTTGTGTTATTGATGAGTTTGTATGTTCATTCCGGATCGTTATTACGCGTATTTGGGATCTGCATTTATTATGTGAATGGCGCAAGATTATTAATCCAGTCATCATGTCAAGAGGCCTACTAAGACAGTGAAAACATGGTCACACTGGGTCACCGATGGCCCCATCCTCTCTATGCGGTGTACACAAGTAGACCAAAAGTCACCTTATAGCGCTTTGAGGACCATTGGTTTCTTGTGGTTACAGAAGCCTTGTCTCCTACCCTTAGCATCACCGATGTCTGGTGTGCGTTCTGTTCATGAACTGTAAAAATATAAATCAAGCTCTAGGTTTCTTAAGCCTCTTGAAATCCCTGGTCGTTCTGTATACCATTCAAGCATGTTCCCTAATTTTATCCTTTAAATGGCTGAATGAGGTTCAATATATATTTTAGAGTAACACCACAACCTGCTTTGATCCGGATCGGTTGCCCANGCCCATTTTTAGTAAAAGGGTTGAGATCATGGAAGTATACACTCAGTAATTAAGGATACTTCAAAAGGTTTGAGAATGCTTGGTTAGAAATAATTCACTGCAGTAAAGATAGATGGTTTCATCTTATGTAAATGGTGAATATCACCCACAGAGTAGGTTTCGACTTGCGGATCGCCTCAACGACAAGGTCATTGGGTCGGACAACAATTCAGTTGCTTGATTATAAGAAAGTCAATAATAAGAATCATCATATTCAATTATTAATTCATTTTTTCCTTCATCTTGCACCCTTAAATTAGGAATGACACTCAGTCGATTTTCAAAAATGGGTTCCTTCTTAAGAAAGACTACCTGGGAAAGTGGAAAAGTGAGGAAGATGGTTGGCGCTGAAGCGCCTCAAAATATGGGTCGCGGGTTGTTGTTGCGGTGACTCCGAATACTTGACTGTCCCGACTAGGTCATTATTCCGACTGGCAAAGCAAGCAACGCGCATGACGAGTGGAAAAAATAGAGCATGACTTAGAGACTTTGGTCGATTAGTGCTTGTGTTCTTTCACTGAATTTATTGTCATGGCAACGATCGCTTTTAATAATTCCATCTATTGATAAATGAAATTATTTCACATACAACATCGTGTTACTCATTAGTAGGCTAACAACATGCTGACAAATTCACAAGTACCATGATGTGTTTCACGGCAAGGCGAACATGATTTCTGTTCCAGTTGCGAAAACAATGGATTGGAATCGTTAAAGTATATTATGGAATTCCTCATTATCTTGAATAATATCTGGTTGTTGAAGTTCTTTTCTCTTATGAACCCTTTTTTATTAAAGATTTGATTGTTCCATGGTAGATGTAATCGTTGGCATCGATGAATGTGGTCAATTTTATTGATTCAAATTAACTGACCACTTAATCTGATGATTCTTTATTCAAAATGTGGAAGCCGTGCTTAAACGTTTTAAGCTTTTCATGTCTTCAATGTTATTCTATCGAACTTTCAGTCGGGATGATCAATTTCACATCAACAGAAAGTGACGACACTGCTCGCTTACAAGGCTCTGGCGAGCAAGTTCAAGGAAAACCTGTGCTACCGTACAGTTCAATGTTTATTTTCGCTCCGACTAATGCGTAAGTTTGACATCTTTGTTTGCTTTCATGCGTTAAGTTATGGGGGATATTTAGTTTTAGTTTGGCGATGGTAACGAGCAAAAGGCTCATTGGAATAAGATGTCCGGGAAAGATGAAATTTTAACGTTTCACTAGTTCGTGATTTTCATGGTGGTAAATGCAGTTGATTGTACTTAAAGGTAATCTGAGGTGCACCGTAAAAGTTATTGTAATTGAGTGATGTTGAATGATCGTTTTCTAGTACGGATGCATTCCTTATCCATAAAAGCATATGTTAATCATCGCTACTTAAACAGCTACTCTGGCGGAAAGAACAGGCCTATAAACATGGACGGAGAACCCGTGTCATGCGGCTTGCAATTTCGAGTGAAACTGAAATAAAACAGCTGAAAAAATTGTACATCGACACTTTTCTGGGAATTTCCGGTTGTCGTGGCTTGTAGAGGGCTATCAACCGACTGTTTGGCACTAGCAATAAACACAAAAGTAAACTGTTAACCTTGGAAGATTAAATTGCGAGTTTAGTCCAGTTTCACAATGCACTACCCCGCTAGACTTAGTCAGCTCTATGCCGACACAAACTATCGAACCGATCGCGGTCCTTCAATAACTACTGAAAAAAAGATGAATAAAGCAACTAGTCCGGGTGAACTATCACTCGTGGTACTTAAGGTATGTGCGGACACTCTTTCAGCCCCATGGTATAATATATTCAATGACTGTCTGATAAGCGGCGAAATTCCTGATACTTAGATACTGGTCAAGATAATTTCTGTTCCAAAAAAGGAACCTGGGAAGTATCGCCGCTTGACCGCACGTCAGTTTTGCTCAAATTACTTGAGAGATGCTTCTTATCGTGTGTTGTCACTGATTCTGCCGAAGACGACATAAATCATTTGGCATATCGTTCTTCGCACTTAACAATTGATGACGTTGCATACCTTGTTCATTCATTAAGTTCGACACCTATAAGAAAAGTAAGACCGTCAGAATGGTGTTCTTAGACTACAAAACGCATTCGGCAGTCTTGATCGATCGGTATTGCTCAACCCAATTGCTGAAAGTGGTGTTAATCCAAACGTTAGCAGATTGATCCGCGATCATTTCACAAATAGAATGCAGCTTACTTGCCTCAACGGTAAAACATCCTCCACTTGCCCAGTTTCTTCTGTTTTTCTACAAGGTGCAAAGTTTTCCCCATTTAACTTGTGAAGGTATGTCAATTTCCCATTTCTACTGCAATCACTGGCTGTAACTACGAAAATGACGTTGTTTTAGGTTGTAAAGCATTCAACCATGATGAGACTTCAGAAATTCTACGCAAACTAGACGGCGTTGGTACGCGATCCTTGTCCCATTCCCTCTCATTAAATGCCTCCAAATGTCAGGATGTTGTATTTTCCCTACTGGTCAATGTACCATATTCCGCCCTCAAAGAGAGGTTCCCCACCCTCTCAGCCAATCACAAACCCCTACTGAAATCAACAATGGTAAAATACCTTGGCGTCACAATATCACACAATTTATCATGGTCACTATATATTCAAAACACATTCTGTAAATTTAGAAAGCTTTCCTATTTCTCACTTCGATGGAGAATATTTTCTGTTTCCCACAAACTTATTGTTAGGTTTGTGAATAAATGTGTGCTACCCCACTGATTGTATTGATCAGCAGTGATATTCCCGATATGTTGAAGAAAGGCTTTTATTTTCTGGCGAGATCTCTGAAACACCTCTCTAAATGTAGTGGCATCTTCAGAGACAAACTCGTGGATTCTATCATAGACACCTACAAGTATGCGACATTTTCACTGCCAAAATACTCTCAGACGCTCATCACCCATTACACACCGAATTTTCAAAAGCTGCATTTACATGATCCACACACTCAGGATTTAAACTTTTATTTGCACGTTCCTCTTCTTATCGTTGTTCTGTTCTGCTATATCTAGCAGGTCTACTTATCGATAAGGAGAATACTTCTACAGAATTGCATAATTGCTTGCCTCATTTACAAACACAGTCTACTTCTTTCAATTTCATTATGAACGATTTTGCAAATTTGAACCCAAAAATATGGTATAAATGCTGAAAATTCACCCATCCCGGTGCAAAAAGCTACTACTGACTGACTGATTGATTGACTTATTTCACGCAGGTTGTTTCAATCAGCTATTTGATTATTTCTGTTTTCCAACTATCCCACCCCCTAATTCGCATGCACAGAATTCGTCGATTCTGTCATTTCGTGGTGAATTTGCGCTACTTTGATCTATTCATCATGATTGTGATCT